TCCGGGAAGAAAATGTCCTTCAAAAAAAAAAAAAGAAAAAAGAAAAAAGAAAGAGCTAGTTGAGACCAAAACACCAGAGAGAGAGAAGGAAAATGAAGTTAACTCATGCAAATGGACTTTATTGAGTTTGTTTTAACTCATCGTGCGATTAACTGATTTATCGTTTATTGCGACAGACCTATTAGGAACATTAAGAAATAAAGTCAAAGAGGAAATAAAAACCATAAAACATGAGTTAAAGACACTATTCCAGAGCTGATGTGATCAGGCTTTGACTTGAGTATCACTTATGACATCAAACTGCGGCTTTTTGTTCACAACTCGGTAATCTTTCATTTCCATCCACACACAAAAAAATGACAGAATAATTGGAAAATAAAAAGCTAAATTGGTTTATTTCCTGTAAACCAAACTAATCGAAGCCGACAGTAGATGTTGGGAGCAAGATGAAGGTAAAATGTTAGTGATTCTGTATTTTCTCTAATAACAGCGAACATTAGCGCGCCCCCAACACAACACCACCAAAACGCTCTCAGTCATAATCCCCGCAATCCGAAGACGTTTTGTCCCTGTAAATTGGATTCCTTCCATGTGTTTGAACTCGGATTAAGACCTGATTGCGATTGCTGCGGCGACGACTCGTGTCCAACAGAGACGATCTCTCCTCTCTTCTCGCTCGGGAGGATAACAGATGATTGTTATTAGAGGCGCAGGGGAAGCCTGGAACGCCGGGGTCATTTCAGCGAGCGGCTCTGAGAGTCGGGAGGAAAAGTGAAAGTGCGGCAAGAATCACTAAGAAGCTGCAGGCTACAATTAGCTTGGAGCACAGCAGAGAGCTTAGCGTTCCACCTCGCTAATGACCACAATCAATCATTTATCATATAGACGGGCTGATTCTGTAAATTACCCTGAGAAGCGTTAGCAACCAGGAACGATGGGAGAGGAGCTGATGCACTGAAAACCGTGAGCCAACAGAGGCTGGTAGTTTCCTTTCAGGAAGGGGAAATATTCCTGTTAGCTTTCCTTTAAAAGGTGAGAGGATGAGCGAACCACGCTCCAGTCCCACCTCGGCATTAGTTTAGCTTCTGATTTGTTTTTCTTCTTCTGTTATACCGTTCATGTGCACAATCAGTTTTGCTGCAGGTTTGGAAAACGTCTCAGTTTGGAAGTGAAAAATAAAATCCAACAATGGAATAAGGCAGGTTGGAAATTCAAATCCTCATCTGGCAAATTCAAACAAAACTCAGAGTAATATGATTTTGAGCTTCAAATCATGTTGTTGTTCCCTCATCCGTAATGCTCTTTTTTTTTCATTTTATGTACGTATTTCGTTTCAGCTGTCTATGAAAGTACACAGCTCTCAGTAAATGTTTCACTTCCGCCTCTCTGTGCGTCTCTGATGCTGCAGAATTCATGGTCCAGCCAGGCTGCTGGCGGGGGAGCAGCAACAGCATGAACAACTGGGAGTGAGCTTTTGTTTGGCTTGTCTAGCTGTGAGCCTCTGTCACCGAGTCGTACGTGACCTCTGAATTTTAGTGGAACTGAACCACTGGAGTGGTTTTGTTTCTTGTCGGGAAACGGCTCAGGATTCTCCCGGACCAGCAAAAGATGGCGATGAATATAACATGTTAGACAAAGTTTCCTTTCAGCCTGAAAACTAGTCCGACGTTTAATTATTTTATTTTGGGTGTTACAGCTACTAGATGCAGCTACTCTGTGTGGTGCTCATCCATCTGGTAACCATGTTGTTGCGTCTAGCGCTGCAAGCCACTCAGACTCACAAAACTGAGAAGTATTCCTGCAGACACGAATTCCTTCGATCACTGAAGAAGTCCTGGTGTCATTTTCGTTTCTGGTGGATCTTGTCTTCTCCAAAGTATCTTTTTTTTTTTTTCCTTCTGCCTGAGTGATGTGTTGGAGATGTTAATGAGAGCCATATGTTTACTTCAAACCTGCACCTTACTGCCCAAAAGCAATAATAAAAGCGCATGAATAGCCAATAAAGCCCGGTGTGTTAATCAGCTTCGAGTTTCCGCCCACATCCTGAAACAGGCTCAGATTCTGTCTGTAAACAAGCTGAATTCAGAGTTTTCCTTTTTAAAACTTCTGGAACTGCTACTTAATAAACCATATGATGGTTTCTTCATGACTTGAACTTGCGTATTTTGCAAAAAAAATCAAAGTAATTATTTTATTACAAATTGGTGGGGTTTTATTTTTTATTTTTTCTTCATTTGCTCTGGCAACATGTCTCTGATTTTGAATACTAAAGGGGTGGTGTTATGTAAAATCAACATTTTTGAGCTTCAAATCATGTTATGTTATTCCCTCATCAAAAACACACCTGGTGTGTTGCCTTGTTTTTTTTTTTTTGTTTTTTTTTTTTCATTTTTGATAAATCCTTTAATCTCCCGTGGCAACCATTCAGTTGTGCAAAACATTTGGGTCAACTCAGCTCTGCCTTTGAGTACAAAGCTCCTCCTCTGAGCTACAATTTTCAAGTTTCCAAGCTTTTTCTTTTGCACCCTCCCCTTTGATGTCCTCACTCAGCTCCTTCAGACTAGCCAGCAGTAAATTAGCAAACACCTGATGGAACTGAGCATCTACTGAGCTCATTACAGGAGCTGCTTCTCAGTGAAACGCTGGTAAAAACATTGTTAAAAGGTAAATAGAGGAGTCGTGTTGTGATGACTTCCTGAAGGCGGAGTTTCAGAAAGAGCAGGAGCTTCTTAAAGAGACAGAGGCCCAATTTCAAAGTGTTAAATTACAAACTCGGATTTCTTTTAAGTCATCCTTGATATATGTAGTATTTTTTTTTATAACAACTTAAGTTAACATGGTTACCTGATTGTTCTATAAAATGACACTAATGGGTCTGGAAAATGCATAATTAGAATATTAATTGCTTAGTGAGACGCATCATATAGATTATTACTCAAAAGGTGGTATTATCCACTTTTTACTTCTGTTAATTATAATTTTCCACTTTAAAATTACAATATAACTTCAGATCAATAAAATGGAAAAATTTAATACAGAAATATGGGTTTAATGCTCAATATCAGCTGAAAGGTTGTAACTTTCAAAAGGTACAGTGAATCTGACAAATGAGCTTAATCAAAAAGCATATTCTGTTCTATTGAATGTGACTAATTACATATATTTTTTTTGAGTGACTTTCAATCATAAAAGTTTTGGTTGTGAAATCCAATTTGTGATGTAAGCCACACGTGCTTTAGTCCCAGCCTTCCTTTTGTCGACGTTTACAAGAAAACAGCACAGGAAAATTAAATTTCACAGCTCTGCTTTCCATCTCGCAAGTTTGAGGTTTACTTTTTAGCACCGCTTCTCCTGCCAAACAACCAGATAACGAGACACTTCCAACATGCGTTGTTTACTCTGAGAAACCGTGACGGAAGCCTTGAGACGAGAGGAGCGATTGGTCCAGGCGAACCGGCTGCTGTGGATGCTGCGGACAGGGAGGCTGATCCACGATCTTTAGCATTCAACTTGCAGCAGCAAATGCTGCACTCTGAGCTGTTTCATTTCAGATTTATGCAGCAACATCCTGACGCAGCAGCGACTGCGTTCTGTCTCATTTGGAGAACAAAACAGGGATCCATTTAAAGGAAGGAAGCAGGAACTCATTTGTAGACAGATGAGCGCAGATCAGTACTGTTTGTTCTTGGTATAATCCAAACCTTCACACAGTCGGTTTCATTTAATCGCTCTGATTTAAGGCTCTTGTATTTCCAAACACTTTGTGAGTCAGTGTTTGGATCTATTATGACCGCTGCATCTGCATCTCTCACATCGTCGCCGTCGTTCCGACTGCACTGACTTGTTATGTTGCCGTTGAAGTTGTCGAGATCCGTTTCGTCACTCCGGGTAGCGATGTTTAATCTGCATGCGAATTAGCAGCGAGGGACACTCAGCGCCGCTCCGTCTTGGTGAGCGCGCGAGGACGGCAGGTGATGGTACGCTGCATTTGTAAAGAAGCCACCAAATGACCGCTCAAATGTTGCGACTTTCAATTACCATGGCAACATTTAGGCTTTGGCCTAGGGCTGCGATTATGTCCTGGTTATGTAGAGAGCTATGGTTACTTATTCTGAATCCCCTTCAAAGCCACGACTGTCATCTGGTTTTTATTTTATGCTTGAGTTGCTGATTGACTCCATTGGGTGATCAAGGTTCCATTCTGATCCTGACTAAGGACTCCATTAGACCTCCTTCAACAAACCGTACAGGACATCCCAACAGAACAGCATCTTCAGCACGGAGGAGAGGTCCCACTCACAGTTCATGACTGTTCAGTATTCCACAATAAAAACTCTTACTTGGCAAAAATGGCACCTACAGGAATGTTCTAAACAGTTCAATCAAAAGGAATGGAGATATTGATGGAAAACTACCATTAAGGCCACTTTTAACCCTGATTTTAAAAAAAGTTGGTGCCGAAGGGATTTTTCCCCATTTTTAAAACGTTACAGAACAATCGGAAACTCGGGTAAAACTTCCCTTCTCACACTTTTTTTTTGGTTGTTGATTCTACAACCACCAACTCAAAATAAACATAGGTCGCCTGTGAATTATCCTGGTCACAAGCTCCTCTTTAACCCTGATTGCATGAATTATGATCTGTTGTGTCAGGATTTCTTTTTTCCAATTTTTATTTTTATTTTGTTAAGCCATAAAAAAAAGGTAGGAAAAAAATTTTGTAAATTTTTTTTTTTTAGGTGATCAATTGTAATTTTCTCCAAATATAGTTATTTGAAAAATACATCAGTAGTATTGTTCTGTAGGGGTGATCTGATGTTACAATGTTTTTTTTTTTTTTTTACCTGCAAGAGTCGTCTACAGTAGGAGGAGGGACTGGGTTGGTTGGCATGCTTTTTTTTTTCTGTCGGCCATATTGGATTTAACAAAAATAATTTCTTGCATTTGCAGCTGATGGCCAGTAATTGGTGTATTTTATGATGCATTAGTGTCCACTTCAGTGGTCTGTGTGCATTTATAACACAAAAATCCCCAAGAAGCACAAGAAAATGTCTTTTAGATAGCTGCCCACTGTAGTGACCGCTATGCATGAAAGGGTTAAGAACATTGATCCATTCATTGTCTGTACCTGCTTGTCCTTGCAGGGTTGCGGAGGGGTCTGATAACGGGGCGAGAGGCTGAATACACCCTGGGGAGGTCGCCAGTCCATCACAGGGTAACACAGAGACACACACGATAAACAACACACACACACACACACACACACACACACACACACACACACACTGACTTACACCTAAAGGGCAATCTACAGTCATCAATTGAGGTAAGAATCAACTATTGATGTCGCAGCTTATCCTCATTTCCAATCCATAAAACAAACAAAGAACATAACCCTCAGTGTAACCTGGTGGCTTTAAAACTGTGACACACAATCTGACCAAACCATTCTTTAAAAGTTTGAGTCTTCTTCTGTCGTTGAACGACAACTATACACACCAACACATTTTGGGGGATTTATTATCTGTCAGGTTCAGGTTTTCCAATCCAAAATCCGGGACTCAACAGAACTCCACCTCGACGTTACTTCCTCCACCCGTTGGCCCGTCGTTCCGACACTCGCTATAATCAGCAAGAACTTCTGAAGACGAGCCTGTGCCTTCCATAATTACGTCTAATTAATTCAGCGCAGCACATGCGGACTCTAATCAAGTTGCAGAAGCAGTTCAAGGGCTACTGATTGATGAAGGATTCAGCAGAGCGACTGATGAGAAAAAATAATTTCCAGTCTTATCAAACACAAATGTGGACCGGATGGTTTTAAAGTCATTGGATTTCCGACTCGTGAAAAAATAAATCGCACATGGAGACGAAGTGAGATGCGAAAAGATTATTTGTTAAATGTTGCACATGAGATGACAACAAGAAGCACAGGTGTAAATAATTATAGCAGAATATGTAATATGTGAAAAACATGTTTTACCTCGGGGGGAGAGTTCGACAAGTTGCACAACTAAGTTCCTAGATGTGAAACAGAAAAAAACTGAGATTTCTCTTGTGTTTCACTTGAGGAAACCAAAACTGAATTTTAAGGTTTTACATGTAACCAGAGGTTATATTTTTACTGAAGTAATAGAGGATCCATTCAAAAAATTATTCAAGTAAGATAAAAAAAAAATAAAAAAGTCTACTCACGTACAGAGTAACTGATCAAATTATCAACAATTTGATATTTAAAAATGACATCATCAGATGGTCCAAAATATAAAGTTAGGTGGAAAGTTTGGTATGTTAAGGAGGAAAATGACAATAATTCATACAAGTAAAATCAGGCAACATAAACTTTTTAAAACTTATGAAACTAACAGAAACTGCAGGTGTGTGTCTGTATCTGTGTCTGGTGATTGTTTGGTTAAAACATGATGTTTTTTAATTCATTTTTTTTCAAAAAAAAAAAAGGCAAACATGAATAAAAATACAATTTAAATAAATATAAATGTTTTTGTTTCATCCAAATTAAAGTGTCCAAAATGTTTTAAGCTTTTATTCGTATCTTGTCACATTATTTGCCGTATACCAGTGAAGACAGGAAGTGGTTAACGAGTTCCTGTGAATAAAAAGAGACATCTGTCCTCAGTCTCCCTGTGTGTTCAGATACTGACCATAATGTGTTGGCATTGTGCTTCCAACTGTTTCACCAAAAAGACTCTTTAACCCGTCTTTGCTATCACTGTTACTGATGTATAAGAAACCTAGTGTTTAGCCACTAGGCTAAACACTGGCGCCCCCACCCGTGTTTTGCCTGGTGGGGGCGCAAGTAAAGCCTGGCAGCCCGCCAGGCTTATATCAACCTTTGAATTGCTTTATATGTTTGGTTTTTTTTTCTAAACTCCTTGATGAATCGTTTATGCCCTCTTATTTGTTGCCCTACCTCTACTGGTTACGGCTGCCTTTGCTCCATGTTTCACGGCTCTCACTGGATTCCCAAACCTTTGGAAATGTTCGGTTGACCTCCTTCCAGACTAGTGGATGCTTTAGTCGACTTCCTGTTGTCAGACACGATCAAATTTACTGAATTTTTTAAATCTTCAAGTCTTGTAGCAGTCGGGTCTTTGGAGAGCCGTTATTCTCCGAGACATTATTATGTGTTTACAGTCAGTTTAGTTTGGATTCTTCTTCATGGCACTTTGTGTGCTTCACATATTTCAGTTGTAAAATTCACAATCTTGCTCACTTATGTAGCCATCAGGATAAAAGTCGAGGTTTTAATCCGTTCATCCGAAGCAACAATAGAAATAGAAATATTAAAATAACGCTCATGTTGATTTGATGCGTGTTCAACTCCACTGTCTAAAAGATGCAAGACTCCCCCGTATGTCTGAATCGGTAAATGACTCAAAACGTTCGTTCGGTCGACTCCATTAGGATTTCCCAGAATTCCAGACCTCAATGGGTTAATCAAGCATATTCTAAAAGATGTGATGCCTTTATTCTGAGTTGGACATGAATCATTTATTCACACACCCGTATCTATTATTCACCAGCTCCACAGACTGCTTGTTCTTATTGACAGAATGGATTTGTCTTTGACTGGGTTTGACTTTGTGCCGGCTGCCGGAGCTAAATCCCCGAGCTCGCCTTAGCCTCCTCATGAGGCAGCCGCTAATGAAACATTTAAATATTTATGTGTTGAAAAGTTGTTTACCTCCTATTCTCGCGACGGACGACGGGCTTTTCCCCTTTGTTCTCTCTGAGCAATGTCCTTCCTCTGTCGTCTTCGCTCCTTCCTTCACTTATCGGCGTCGGTGAATTAATGAAGGTGAAGACTAAAGAGGGGGACTTTTTCAAAGCCCGTCCCGTAACCCGAGACGAGGCCGCATCTTTTTGTTTCCGTTATTACGTCGTCCTCCACCTTTTTTTGCCTCTGGATCTCAGAAGCGCTGTCCAGGTCACGTTTGAAATGAGACAAAAGCGTGAATAAAATGCAAAGGACTTTACTATCCCGGGGTGTGTTTATCGCGCAGGAGACAAGGACGTTTCGAAAAAAACAAAAACAAAAAAAAAAAACATGTTGCCCTGATAGCTCTAAAAATCTTTTCAATGAAAATATACATTTTGATAGTGATCTTTAGAGACTCCTTTGTTTGTTTGTTTGTTTGTTTGTTTGTTTTTACTGTGTCTTGCAGAAGTTTTCACACTTTATCAAGTTACAATCACAAACTTTAAGGATACATGATCCTCAAATAATTTTATAAATCTAAAATTTATGAACTGATATAGAAGTTTAACTGGCTCAACCCATGACGTTTGGAGCTGCTAACCTAAATAGATGTTGTGTTGCTTGTAGTAGTAAGCTAATATTTAGAGCAACTAACATGTATGGAAAGCCAACAGTGCCATAATATATTAAAAATTCCTAAAATGTATTCTTATAAATGTTAAAATTGCAAGTGTCAGATTATTCTAGTATTTTATTATAAATACACGTGGATCATTAGTATTATTATTATTGTAGTTATTTATTACCAGTAATTATTTCATAAAGTACAAATCAAAATCACTAAATTGGGTCAAAACCAATATAAAAAAGTGGGGTGGTCACCAGCTGAGTTACTGTACAGTTAAAACCTGTTCACCAGGATGATTGACCGCAGTAAGACCCTCCCCCCTGGATCTGATTGGTTTTTTCTGATCGAGAGCAGATGGCAGTAGGACCACAGAGAAGAGGTAGAGGAACTTGATTTTTCTTTTTTTTCTGAAATTATCTCTTTCATGTTATAAAATCAGGACACAGTGACAATATATTTTTTTAAAACATGACATTTTTCTTTTTATAGAAGTTAGCTCCTGAGAACCAATCAGGTGTTTTTAAGTGAGACGCAGCAAATGCTTAAAACATTATTTCATGATGTTCTTCAGCGCAGAAACACAACAGTAAATGTAAATGTTATTTTGTTCATCACATCAAATGATCAAATAAAACAATATTACATGTTCTAAGGAGGCAAACTCCTAAAGTGTGAATCAGATGGGAGAGAATATGAAAGAATGAAGCATCAATCATCTCTTTAAGCTGTATAAAAAAAATCTTTTTCTACTAGTTTTAGAAAACCATGGGTGGGTAAATACAAATCCACATGACACTTCAGATTTTTTATGTAAAAAAAAAACCAATAAAAACCTAGAATCGTTTTCCTGTTGAATTCACATTTATGCACCACTTTGTAACATACATTCCAATTAAAACCTGCAGGAGTTTGTGGCTGTGATTTGGCGTGGGACTCTGAGTCTTGCTTACACAACATTCTGGTTAGGGTAGCAGAAGTCGACATGTGATCCAGGCTCTACAGTACCAGCGTCTCGTCGATGGGGAAACCGGTTCCGCTCCGGTTCTTAATATCCCCTGCTGTCTGAAGTAGGATTCGTGTACCACTTTTTTTTTACCCCCCGACTTTTTAATTAGGTTTCTGCCTCTACGCAGCGTGATATCAAGCAGGCTCCTCACATCAAAATCAACCTAGAAATTCAAGCTCCTGTGAAGCTATAAATACGTCCCCCCAATTTGTTACGAAGGCGAGCCGCAAAGAGAATAAAAGTGTCAATCAAGCTGAAGAATGAACAGAACGGGGAAAAATGGCCTTTTATTAATGGTAACTTCATTGAGGTAGAAAAGCACAGTGCAGACCTTTTTTTTTTTTTTGTCATAAAGCACAATTTACCGCTGAGAACACACGCTGCTGCGACTGAGCGCGCCTCTGAATGCGCACTTGATTGGATTTCTGCCTCTAATGAGAGCAACTTGTCAGCGCGCGCAAAGCAAGAATCCCTGTAAGCTCCCAGAAACGACGTGGGCGGGCGACGACTGCGATGAACTTAGGGGCCTCGGTTGTTTGGTGACACGTAGAGGGAAACGCACAGACTGCCTGAAGTCGACTCACTTTTCAGCACGGAGTCGACACTAGGTTCTCTGGTACCTTGATAATAATAACAAGTCTTCTATAACAATCAGCTGACGGTATGTGGCCATAAAGAGAGAAAATGTCGAGGTCTGTTTTTTACTGCAGTGATGAGTTTCCTTTTTTCATCCAATTCTTTGACCATTTTAGTGATTAGATTCACCATCTGGTGCCCATATATTCTCTGGTGCGTCATGTTCCTTTTGCATATCATGTATATACATATACAGTATATATATGAAATCATGGTGGCCACGAGGAAAAGGCCATGTTTTTGGTCCCGGTCCATTCCTTCTGTTTTCCCGACTTGCAGCTTTTTCTCTGCAGCTCTCCATTCGCAAATCTTGGCAGAATCAACAGAATGACAAGTGACACAGAAAGTGGAATGGCTAAAATGTAGAATCAGAAAACGTGGCTACATTTACATGTGGCTGCTGCCTGGAAACTGACGGTTTTTTTCAGACGTTGGAGGGGAAAAGGTTCCACGTTTTGACTGCACCACCAACATACTTCGAGTGTAACAGTCGCGTCAGGCCACTGGATGGCGGTGTGATTTTAGCACGATGCTGAATGCACGTGAGCTTCTGACCCTTAGCTTAGCTCTGTATGTTTTCTAGAAGGTTGCAATGCTTTCTGGAACCGCCGTCACACTGCAAAAAAATGAAATCAAACAGTTACGATACCGCGTGACGCTGTGAACGCAACACCGTTGGTCTCTGTGTACATTCACTATTCAGAGCTAGAGTCCACCAAAAGTGAGCCACGCTTTGAAGATATAAGTAGAGTTGATGTTCCACAAAATTCATTTTCCTCGTATTTATTAACAAGAAGCTTGTTCTAAATTTGAAACAAACTTCCAGAAAACTTCCAAACAGCTCAAACACTGAGTTCCTTCAAAGCTGAAACCCCACAGAGTTG